TGTAGGGAATCTATTGATTAAATAAGTGGCTGTGAGCACACATTCACCCCAAAAATACAGTGGGAGATGAGCTTGAAAACGTAATGCCCTAGCCGTCTCAAGAATATGCCGATGCTTGCGTTCCACAACACCATTTTGTTGTGGTGTGGAAACACAAGAGTGTTGAAAAATTAGCCTATTATCCTTGAAAAAAGCACGCATAGAAATAAATTCTCCCCCATTATCCGCACGGATTTTTTGCACTTGAGAATGAAATTGTGTTTGAACAAAAGAAAAAAAGGATTTAAGTAGACTCTGTGTTTCACTTTTATGGTGCATGAGAAAAATCCAAGTCAACCGTGAATAATCATCAACCACTATTAAAAAATAACGTGCCCCAGAAAGTGAGGCAATTTTATAAGGCCCCCAAATGTCACAATGAAGAAGAGAAAAATGCTTTGTAGTTGAAATAGAACTAGTATTGAAAGGTAAACGAGTTTGTTTGGCCAATGAACAAACATCACAAATATTATTTGAATGAAAGGGAAAATGTAACATAGTTTTAGCCATAAATTGTAAACGAGATGAAGATAAATGGCCCAAACGCCGATGCCATAAATGGGTAAAGGTGGTGACAAGACTGCAGGAAGATTGAGGTATGGAAGAATAAGGTTTGGAAGCTGAGGTTGCAGAACCCAACGCCACAAGGTGGTATAGACCCCCACTTTGTTTACCCAAACCAATCGTCGTCTTCGTAGCCAAGTCCTGCAAAATGCACCTAGTAGGAAAAAAAGTTACTGAACAATTCAATCCTTTTGTAAGTTTCCTTACAGACATAAGATTGACCTTGAAAGAAGGGATATGTAAAACATCTCGTAAATGAACTTGTGAATTTAAAGATAAAGTCCCAGTAGAAGAGATATGAGCCTTTTCACCACTAGGCAAGACAACAGGTGGCATTGAAGAATTTGAGCATTTAGAAGTAAGTGAATGCGAAGATGAAGTGATGTGATCGGTTGCCCCACTATCGATTATCCATTGATGTAAGGGCAAACTAGACCTTGACAAACCTGATAACAGAGCAGCAGCGTTTGCTTGGGACGGTGGCTGGTCATTCATCTTCTCATTCATCATGGAAAGCATTTGTTGGTACTGTGTCTCAGAAAGATTAGGTACAACAGCTTGTAATTCTTGCAAGGTGGGACTAAAGGTCACATGGTTAGTCGAGAAGTATGCAGCCCCATGCTTGTCACTATTGCCATTCCCATTAGCTTTCTTGGACTTGTGGAGGCGGTGGCCTGGAAGGTAACCATTCAGTTTCCAGCATGTCTCAACAGTGTGATGGTCAACGTCACAGTGTGAGCAATGAAAAGGCCTACGATTTGGATTGGAAGTTCTTTGACTCTGTCGAACCGCCATGGCCGCAGTCTCCACAACAGGTCGGGAAGATCCCAATTCCCGTTGTTTCTCTTCTTAGGAAATTAGGGAATATGTCTTGCGAAATGCAGGCAAGGGTTGCATAAGCAATATTTGTCCACGAGCTGCAGCATAGGACTCGTTGAGTCCCATGAGAAACTGCATAATTTTGTTTTGTTTTTCTTGTTCAGCATGAGTCTTCATTGCCCCACAGTTACAAGGAGAGACATTGTTGTATGATGCTAATTCATCCCAGAGACCTTTCAACTTTGTGTAGTATGCAGCGACGATCATCTGATCTTGAGTAAGTGAAGCTATGTCATGCTGGATTTGGAAAATCCTGGGCGCGTTGCTTTGGGAGAAACGTTCCTCAAGGTCCTGCCAGATATCATGGGCTGTGTCTGAATAAATCACGCTATTGGCTATATCTTGTTCCAGTGAGTTCAGGATCCAAGATAGGACCATGTCATTGCAGCGCCGCCATAGGGAAAAACCTTCTGGATCAGTCTTCACTGATGGTCTTTTGACAGATCCGTTGACAAAACCAAGTTTATTCTTGGCACTCAGAGAGATCTTGATGGAACGACACCATGTCCCATAGTTATCTCCATTCAAAAGCTTGGAAACGATGACCATTCCTGGGTGGTCTGAATGATGAATAAAAAAGGGACTGGAAGTATCATTAGTGCTTCCATCCTTGGAAGAATGTTTTTTGGTTGAGTCGTCAGCCATAATAGAGAAAGAGGGACGGCTATGCAAAAAGGAGAGCTAGGGTTGGGATCCCTGCTCTGATACCATGTAAAAAAAAGGAATAGGCTAATGTTTTGATTCAACCAGAATACTCTCTTTACAACGTCAATGATATTTATACAGTGGTGATCCTAGAATTAAGGAACTCATCAAGGAGCAAATACAAGAAGTCAGCTGTACTATTAAGGCAACAAATATACAGAATCAATTGTAAATCAATCAACCTAAACTATAGGGATTTCGGTGATATCTCAACAGCCTAATTTTGGTGATATCTCAATAGCCTATAAGGGTGGGCATCTAAAACCGAAATACCAAAACCGTACATTAATCATACCGTAACACACCGATTTTATGCCATTTCATTTGGGATGGAGAGATAATCGGTACCGTACCATACCAATAAAGTGGTATGGTAGCTGTATCAAGTATTTAGTACCGGTCAATACCGTACCGTACCGAAATATAAACATGTTCAAATAGAAACATATAGTTGTGATAAATTGTGAAGGAAGGAAGGAGATTTTCCAAAGTCCCATTTTGCAAATTTGTACAAATAAAAAAGAAGAATTTCTTGAGGCTGCTGGGGATTTGGGTAATTGTTGTTTACTTTCTTTGATCAATGTTTATGAATTGTAATTTTCTTTTTGCATCTTTTGTCAAATTTTCTCGGATAATCATATCTGTAAGTTCATTTTCATGGCTCAATTAATGTAAATTTCATTTCCTCAATCTTTGTTTTCCCCATTTCTGCAATTGAGTTGGGTTTTTTTCCCCCCATAATTAATGTCTTGCACATATAAGAAACTGTTGTAATTTAATATGGGTAGCCAACATTATGATTAAAAAAGTTGTATTTGTCTTCAAGCTTCAGTCTGAAGCTTTGGATTCTCAGGGCATATCATATGAATGAATTATGAAATTTAGTAGCTATTTTTATTGTCTTATTCATTCCGTCTTGCATTTTTTAGTTGTCATTTTGGTACCGAAATGATATCGATACCGTACAGATATCGATTTGGCACGGTATGATACGGTACCAATTTTGGCAAATGATAATCTCATACCGTACCATACCGGTTTTAATTTCCGGTATCTGTAGCAATACAAGCTCAATACCGTACTGTACTGTATCGTGCCCACTCTTAGTTGCCTATCATTTACTGATTATGCAAAGGAGAATTAATTAAAGCACGTCACTATGAACCTTAATTTTCCTAGTTGTATAATAAAACTTTCTAATTCTCGAACTGACTTATTATTATTTTTTATTTCCTACTTGAGGCTTAAGTTTTTCTGATCACACGGGAAACTTCCCAAACAAGTAGTAACACATAACCCTCTACGAGGGTCACTCACTCACTCCTTCTCCTTGTAGAATTAGGAAATCCCCTGTATCTGTATATATTTGAGGAGAGAGAGAGATTGAACTTCACACTGCCCATTTCCATTACCTAGCTATACGTTGCTTTTCTCTTCTCCACAGAACCCTAAACCTTAATCATTCACTGACCAGCATGTTGGTCGATCTTGGCTACGAAGCTCGTCCTCTCGACTTCCCATGGCTCATGCTGCCCGACAACCACCACCACAACGCTGGCGACGACAATGAAGCTTACCACAACCAAGACCTGAAGTGTTTTTTCAGTCTTTACACTCATCAAATCCACTCTCTTGAACTGCCTGAGGCTTATGAAAAGACTGTATGTGGATCATCATCAGGCTGGCTAATTTTGCGACATGAAACCACATCAGCCGTTACCCTGCTCAACCCTCTCAACCGCGCCCAAATTGCTCTCCCCCAACTCTCTTCTTCTCCATTCTATGATCAAGACCCTTTACCCGTTCTTCACAAAGCTATACTGTCTTCAGACCCTTGTCGCTACCCGTTCGACTACAAAGTTTTGGCGATTTTTGGGCAGAAGCGAAGGCTCATATGCTACAAAGCAAGGGACAGGACTTGGACCATGATACAAGATGCAGGGGTTCATTATGAAGACATTCTTTCCATGGGCAACGAGTTGCTTGCCACTGATGAGGTTGGGAGGCTTGTGTCTTGCAATCTTGATGGCGATTGGTTTTGGTTTCCACCAAATGTTGAAGAAATTTCTGACCCTTTTTTCTTTAAAGGAGGCAAAGTTTATCTTGTGGGCATAGAAGGAGAGCTGGTTATGCTGATAAGGTTTGTGCAGGAAAACATTAGTTTTGGCCAAGAGACATATGACTTTGAAGTTTACAGGTACGATTCTATGGAAAGCATTTGGGAACCCATCAGCAACTTAGGTTCATGGACAATTCTCTTGGGACATAACCAGTCTACCGCCATTGAAGGTCGGCAATTTAAGGGGCTGATAAAACTCAACTGCATCTACTTCACTGATGATAGTTTGGAGGAGGATAGTTTGCTGGTTGGCCATGACTCTGGTGTTTTTAGCATGGAAGATGGTAAAGTTGAGCCACTGAGATGTATTTCACATGATTTCATGTATGTTTGGCCACGCCCAGTTTGGTATATGCCTAGTTTTGCTTGAATCATGGATTAAATGTAGAACTTTGGAAATCAATGAGAGCATGGATTTGAAAAGAGTGCTTTTATTTTGTGATAAATTTTGTTTTGGCTTTTCTTTTTTCTGTTTTGTTTATAACTTAATTTGGCTGAGCTTGCTTTCAATTTCCGTTCCCCAAAAGACCTAATTTGAATTTAACCATGTTTGATTTCCTGGTAACTGACAAGGTTACCATGGTGCCACAATATTCTGTTTTTAGATTCAATTTTTATTTTAAGATTTAATAAAACCTCAATTTTTATCTCAAGCTACTCCAAATGCGTACCTTGGAAACCAATCTAAAATATAATCCAAATGATTGTGTCAAAAACAGGTTATGCTTCAGATGAAATGAAATCACAGATTATATTTCAGATATTTAAAAAAAGAAAAAGAAAACAGATCATGGCAGAAAAAGAGCACATAGTTACATGATTACAACAAATACTTTACTTCAATGGTTCAGCACAATTGGCATCAACAGGAAATTGTATAACAATAAGAAAACAAGCTTGGTTTGATCAAACAAAAGACAAATGAAATGGTTTTAACTTAGACTGAAATTTGACCCAAAAAAAGAAACTTAGACTGAAAAACTTAGACCTGAAACCTTCTTTACATAGGAACTTATCCCCACAAAAAAAAACATTGAAGACAAACCCAACAAGAATATGAAAATGAAATTGTTCTGGCATTCTGTATTTTTACACGACTTCAGCAGTCAAACTGACATCTTCCATTGGTGGAGCATCCTGCAATAGACAAATAAATATCTTTGCTCATAAAACAAGACACATCAAACATCTTTTTTCTCAAGACCACAAGAAGCAGCTTGACATTAGAGAAGCTAAGGGTTTGGAATAAAAGCTAAACGAAAGTTTAACGAAAAAGGCAATGGATTCTGAAAGACTAATTCACCTCATTTTCTTTGTTCTCATGAAGTGCTTCTTGCCCTGCAGGAGTAGTGCTAACTGAGCCTGTAAAAACATTGGACCATAAAATAATGTCACATGAAACGTAACAAGAAAAGATGATTGCACATAGAACATACGCAAAGAAATACAGGTGAAATCATTTGACACAGTTGCCTTTCTCACCAGCAGATTTATCCCCCTGCTTCTTAGTCCTGTCTTTCACTTTGTTAGATTCTTGCTTGCTTGGCTTTTGGGGTTTCTTTGCAGTTGGCCCACGAGCCCCATTTTCGGAAACAGGTCCTGAATTTGAAGAAGTCTTCACCAAAGATCCTCTAGAAACTGGAGCAGCATCAGTGTTCAACGACTTGGGTTTTAATTTCCTAGTTCCCATTATAGAAGAACAGCTCTTGACATCATCATCAGAAGATCGAGTGCCCTCATCAGGTACCTGAGAACAGGTTTCGGAGACCAGCAACTGCTCCCTTTCTACATTGCTTTTGCTTTCCAATAATTCCTTCAGAGGATCTTCAAGGTCATCAAGGTTGTGACGGACCACATACGATTTTAGCTCATCTCGCATTCGATGAAGAGGCTGAGTTTGACATTATATGAAACAAATAAAAAGGGGGACACAATATAATTTAAAGTTCAGTCCTTTGACACATTAAAAGAAATGAACTAGAGTGTTCATGGCCTTGAAGGTGTGAAATCACTGAAATGGAAAATAGAAAGATGGGATACATGAATTGTACCTCACATCCAGCCTCCAAGGCTAGTTTGAAAAGTCCAAGTGAAATTGAGTGCTTGCCAGCAGCCTCAGACAGCTTAATCTGTGTCAGCCAGTATGATGCTGAGGAGAGGACACTGAACTTCTTCCGGCTTGTAGACTTAGAAACATCAGAAGCAGGTGTCTCACTTTTCACAGACCTCCTTGATCTGGCCTCAGAGATTGGGGTGATGTTGCCAAGCAATTTTGGAGCTGGAGTGCCAGCCGGTTTGGGAGGATTGGAAAGCCTTCTGGGTGGCTTGGCAGGCTTGTCCTTGCCAGAGAGATCAAGAACACCCATACTTTTACTTAGAGTTGATGCAGGTTTTCCCCTAAAAAAAAGTAGACATCCCATACAGAATTCAACCAATCGACTCTGCTTTCTAAGCAGTAAAACTTTGCATATGCAGATAACAAACAAGCATGGGAGAAAACTATAGCTTACAGGTCAATTTTATTATTAACCCTAAAGACCGAAAATGTAACCCTACCCTCTATAAATTCTTTATGGAAATAATTCACAACAACAACAAAATTTTTATTATTTTTCCCCTAAATCAATTGATACTGCTAATATTTACATGCAATTACTCAAATTATGGGAATTGGTTCATGTAACATACCCAAATTTTACCATAATTTGATCTTTCCCCCAATAATTAAAACAATTGAATGGCTCAGCACACCCTCATAACATGTAAACCAAATCATCCCAACAAACAGATTCTTATTGCAAGTGAAATCATATCAATAATTAGCCCAATCACATCTCAGCATCATCAAGTCATACCTCTTAGACGCAGAATTGTTAGTCGACTCGGCGGGGACCGGAGGCTTCTCCTCCTTGGACTTAGACCCCGATCGGAGCGCATACCGAAGAAGCTTTCCTGAAACACACAAAACCAAACCCCAATTTCACACCAATTTTCACAAACACACCCACAAAAAACAAACAAAAAACAAAACTTTTGAAATTACCAGATTGAGCAGACTGGGAGTCCTCCATTTGATTGATCGATTGCTTTAGTTCTTGTTCTTCTTCCTCTTCCTCCTTCCCTTGTGTAAAGAACAATGAATTAGAGGCTGGCTTTTATACTCATTTTCCTTTTTCAAAATTTTCTTGTTTTTTTTTACTATAATCATTGGGCGGGAAACTGTAGGAATACCCCACAACACAACTCAAATTTCACCAAACGCGCCGTAATGATAAAATCTCTCCTACTCGCATTCTGATGTGCGCAGGTCCAGATCATTATCCACGTGTGAGATTTTGATTCGTTCGCCGTAGATTCAGTCAGCGAGACTTCCGTTTTGAGTTACGTTCGCAATTTTGATATGGTGGGATGGAGCGGACATGATTGCGAAGGAAGTGGACGCGTGGAGAACGTATGTGCTTGATGATCCCTTCAACGGCTGGCGCTGCATGGGACCCATGGCTTCCTATATTAGAAGAGATAATTCGAATTTCAAATTTCAAATCGTGTGCCGTTAAAACTGCTTTTACGGTTGTGAGGAGATGGTCGAGAAGGTGGTTTTTAACTTCTTTTTTTTTTCTCTGTCTCCAAGCCAAAAAAAAAGAAGAAAATATCATGTTTTTCTTTGCTTTGGGCCGGACTTGCTTTTTTTAATGGGCTAGCCATTAACTGATGCACCCACTTCCATGGCCCATTGGGCCAACATGAAACACGTAGTCGTCATGTGTATTGATTTGGAACAAGTCATTTTATAGTGAGGACCCCTTATATAGCCCTTGAGTGAGACTATCTCTTAACCATTATATCAAATTGGTTAGTTTAATTCAACAGTTAAGAGATAAAACCTTACCTAAGGGTCATATATAAAGCCCTCACTATAGAATGACTCACGTAGCTTCATACATGTCTTTCCTAGTCATTTGTTGCCACTGCTTCCAAACCTTTTGCCACCGCCAAATCCCCATCCAACACTTGCTCCGCCGCCACCACCGAAATCAACCGCTCTCCCAACACTACCACCATTATTATCACCACCTAGAGCCACCACCATCACTCGAACCAGAACCACGACCAGAGCAATTTTTCGGATCCCCAATTCACTACCAAGCTTCCTTGCATCACTAGCGAAAATGAAAGCCCAAAAAAGAAGCTTAGGAATTATCTTTAGCCATAATTAATGGATATAGCAGTAGTTAAGATGGCTTTGGTTATTGTCGGTGAACTCTAAAGTCCTAATATATATATATATATATAGGTGATTTGGTTCGGCATGGTTTTAGCATACGTGCAATAGACATAGCATTGATTGTGATTGTTGTGTTGGTAGATGACATATACTGAAAAAAATATTTTGTCACATGGGATTGGTACAACCATAAACCAAAAAATAAAATAAAATAAATCCCAACAACAACCTGTAAATATAAATAGGATTGTAAATTAATTAACATTACATCTTACTCAAGTAAAGATTATGTCAAAATTAGATTTCTTCATGCTAATGATTCTCTGTATTAGTTACCAACAAACTTGTACGAAATGAAGAGATTTTTGGTCTGATTTTTTCTTGTTTGTTTTTTCATTTGTTGGTGTTGGTGACCACAGTCGAACGGGTGGTCTTGGTCTTGGTGTTGGCGACCACAATCAAACGACCCAAGTCATCACACTCCTCCCTCCTTCACCTCTTTGCCTCCTACCAATCCTACGGCTATGATCCCTCCACGCGCGAATTCGCGCCTCGGATTCAATTTTCAGTTGTGAGGGCATAACCGTATTTGCCTCTCATGCTTCGGAATAAATAAAGACGCTGCACCCTTGGTTCCGAAGTAACTGGCTAACTGCACTTGGGACTGCCAACACATCCTCCTTTACGCCGACCCAACAATCGTCTACACTCGCGTCCATCGTAATCTTTCCCTTATAGCCGTTCACTTAGAATACTACTTGAAATCCAAGTCATCAGTCAACACATTTGAAAACATTCAATTCAGCTGGCCAGTCATGAGTGGCTCCTCAGATTTGTTAACCTACACCTCTCTGCACCAAATCTAGTTCCTTTAGTCTCCCAATTTTTCAAATTCTGGAATTTTTCTATGGCTCATCAGTCCAGAGTAGAGAGAGTAAAAGCAAAGGTTGGAGCTTTTATTTTTATATTAGATCATTGGTTCTGGGTTTTTGCACAGTCTCACTCACTCATGGTACATTTCCTTCCTTGTACTATCTATTTCTGTGTAAATCTTTAATCTTTTTGCAAGTTGTTTCAAAAAGCTCAAATCTTTTTTTTTTTTTTTTTTTTCGCTTCTGGGTACTGTTATTTTGGTCTGATGGTTTGAGGTTCATGTTTTCCAGGAATGGTAGATTTGGGGTTTAGAAGGTCCACATTTGTGAGGTATGTTTCAGATCTGGTTTAGCTCAACCCGTTGTGTTTACCAACTTATTGAGTTCTAAGATCTTGTGGGTTCTGGAGTTTCTAGTTAGATTTGCTCTTGGCTTGGCTGTTGGCTCTCTGAATTTAACTGAATATGCTGTGTTTGCTTGGTTTCTTTCTGGATATGTTGCTTTGAAGTTCTTGTCTTGTTTAATATTTTTAATGGGGATTTACATTTCTTGACATCTTAATTGACTCTTAAGCTGATTGCATTTCGTACTATTAATGGAGTTGACTATAACGTTTGATACGTTAATTGTAATGCTCAATGGATCAAATGCGTATTATGTATCCATGCATGGGACTTGTTTTAAAAGAGTTTGATGGTTTTGATTTTGGAACTTAGGCATGTCGGTTAGGATCAAAAGTAAATTGTTTTAAGGTTCTCTCTCTCTCTCTCTCTCTCTCTCGGTGTGTAATTCGATCCATTTAGTTCTTATGGATATCTCATCAATTCCCACTGAATCAAATTGAGCTAAAATGAAAAGGTCTTTTAAAAAGAAGAAAAAAATCATGTTTGATTTCATTATCTCATAAGTGATGTAACAGTGAGTTCTGTTAACATAGGCATCCATAGACAGTTATTAAACACATGTTTTATTCTGGAAATTTGCAGAATTGCATTGCTTTGTATTTATTTTCTTTCTTTTTTTTTTCCTTGGATTGCATGGTATTAATTTAGGGTTGTAATGTGATCATATGTAACGATGCAGCAAGTGGGCTTCTTCAGCATTTTGTAGCTATTGGCCTCCCTGCAATGGGCAAATCACCGGCAAAATGGATCAAAACTGTGCTCTTTGGAAAGAAATCGTCAAAAGCTAATATTCCTAAAGGAAGAGAGGTAACACTATTGTTATTGAGCTGACTTAGGGATATATCCCATTAAACCAAATGAAGGACACCTTATTCCCAAACATTTCCTTTAATATTGACGTTAAGAAGACTTCACTTTACTTTTCATTTTGTAGAGATATCCTTCACATTCAATTTCAGAAGTTTAATTACTTTCTCTTTCTGTACTAAATGTAAAAAACTTACACAAATTCTATCTTTATGCCTATGATCATTGTGTATAGAAATTTTCAAATGAGAAAGAAGTGGTGGTTGCTTCCAGGGCAGCCGGAGCTGAATTTTCTTCAGATCCACCTGTGGCTTTTCATCAAAACACCAACACCTTAGAGGACAACATAGGATTAGAATTGGAGAACAAAGAAGCTCCAAATGTATCGGGTGATGGAGGGCCAGGAAGTCAAAGTACAGAAATACAAGGATCCACACCACAAGATGCAGTGTATGACCCTGAAAGAATCAGACAAGAGCAAGCTGCAACAAAGGCACAGGCTGCCTTTAGGGGTTATCTAGTAAGTCTCTTGCTGAAGTAGTATTTTTCGAGTTGATTAAATATGTTTGTTTTGTTAATGCTTTATTGTATCAATTTTATTTTAGTTGAAATTACAAAACACTAATGCTGGTATATTATGTGAAGGCACGCCGGGCATTTTGGGCCCTCAAAGGCATAATAAGGTTACAGGCACTTATCCGTGGGCACTTGGTTAGGAGACAAGCTGTTGCTACTCTGTGCAGTATGGTGGGCATTGTTAAGTTTCAGGCACTCATTCGTGGAAGGCGCGTGAGGCAGTCTGATACTGGGCTTGAAGTGCAAAAAAGATGCATTCTGCCTCTGTTAAATGTAAGTACTTGGTCTTTTATCAATTACTAATTATTGCTCTCATCTTTGAACAAGGAACATCATAGTCTCCTTTGCTCCATCCCCAAATACAGGGAGCTGCATTACTGGATAATATACTAAAATATCTAGGTTCATTCAGTGAATACATTATTGATAATATCATTAGGCTATATGTGTTTTTAGATGTCCTGCTACCTTTTAATCATATCCCTCTTATACATTGTCCATCAGGAGGGCAAGCTAGTGGGTCTGGTTGGAGTTGATACATCAACTCAAATGGCAAAGCTGTCAGCAAATGTTTTCATTTTTAAGGTAAGTTCAATACTGGAGATGGTAATTTGACTAATAAATACTATTCAAAGAACGTGTCCAGATTTGAATCAAATTTTTTCATTTCAGAATGTGTCGGATCTGTATGATTTCAACGGGCATGTTGTAACAGTTTGGTTTTTTCTTTTCAGCTTCTTGCCTTGTCACCTCCTGTGATGCCTCTGAGCTTGCAATATGAACCTGGAGATCCAAATTCAGTCTCAAACTGGTTAGAGCGTTGGTCAGCAACCCATTTTTGGAAACCAGTTCCCCAACCAAGAAAAGTTCCAGATTCAAAATCTCAGAGAAAGCACCCGGAGGCTCAAACAGGCAGGGTAAAGCGAAGCAACCGGAGGGTTCCTTCAGCAAATGTTGAAAGCGTATCAGTGCAAGCCACCTCTGAATTTGAGAAACCCAAACGTAACCTGAGAAAAGTTTCTACCCATACAACAGATCCGGTGCAGGAAAATCCACAAGTTGAGCTTGAAAAGGTCAAACGTAATTTGAGGAAGGTTCATAGTCCCATAGTCGAGAACTCTGTGCAGACAGAAGGTGAAGCTGAGAGTCTCAAACAGAGTCTGGAAAAGGCATCAAGCACTTCAGGTCCTGATGTTTTGGAAGGATACACTAATAACTCTGGTGAGAAATTGAAGAAGGAGCCAACTTGGATTCTGTCCAATCAACCTGATACAGAAACAATTCCTGAACCGTCAGCAACAAAAGAGGTATTTAATCTATCATCTGGTGATCAAGCTGTAGAAGATTTGAAGCCTCTGACAGAGAGCACTGGTAAGGATATAAATGCACCTAGTGCTGAAGCTGCAGTTGAGTCGAAGATATTAACAGAGAGCAATGGAAATGATGAAAATATCTCATCCGCAAATGGGGTTTTGAGCCAAAAAGAAGATTTGACAACCAATGACAACCAGAAATCCAGCAGGAAATCTTCTACTCCAGCCAAACAAGAACGTTCAGAGAATGGGTTGCAAAGCAGTCCAACGGTACCAAGTTATATGGCAGCAACTGAATCTGCAAAGGCAAAGCTGAGAGCACAAGGCTCCCCTAGGTTTGGACAAGATGGGACTGAGAAAAATAACTCCACTCGTCGTCATTCTCTCCCATCATCAACTAATAGCAAAATCAGCTCACAGTCTCCAAGGACACAGAGACTGGTTCAAACAGTTGGCAAAGGAGGAAATAAAAGTGAGAGAACTCAGCCAACTTCAAGAGAAGGAAATGGTATGATTTTGCGTCCTTAATAGACTGATTCTTGTTTCCCCCTGGACTTTTGGAAATATATTGCATATTTGGTTATGAGAGATTCACAGATGGAGAGAATTTCTTGAAATTCTTTTCAATGCTGCATTGATCTGGAAGTTTATAATCTTCCAGACCTGTTGGTACATATTAATTGTTTTCCTGTTCTTGCCAAAGGAAGTTAAGCTGAAAGTTGATTCTTTTCAATGCTGCATTGATCTGGAAGTTTATAATCTTCCAGACCTGTCGGTACATGTAAATTGTTTTCCTGTTCTTGCCGAAGGAAGTTAAGCTGAAAGTTGATTGCTTTACTATTCTTTTTTAATTCTCAACTACAGTCTAGAGCATGCCATCTCATTATGTAACCTCAACAATGCACTTCCTGTTTATTTTCTCAATATGCACAGTGGTTTATCTATTAACGATCACCTTGGCTATTGTTTGATTTTGCAGGAAAGGCAACCCAAGCAGAGTGGAGAAGGTGATTGATAAGGTGATTTTCAATATAAAATGGGAGGCATTCTTGTCAGTTTTTGATTTATGCATTTGTGATTCAAAGTGTTGTTAAACTGTAACGTCATCTATAGTTAGAAGGTTGTTTTTGGCCAAGAGCCTCTTGTGATTTGTCTGCGTTTGTGATGTTTATGAGTGAATGTACATCATAGGTTTCATGTTACTTACTATCTTGCATTAAGACTCACTCAGACACGGTTGGTTTTCAGTCTTATGATACGATTTCTGGCCATTCGTAGCCTGTTGTATAGGGATTATCAGTTTATGTGCACCTTCATGTTTGTTATGCTTTATACGCTGAACTTAAGCCATTTGAAATTAGTGCAAGTGATTTGGTATGCTCAACTGTTGTGCCTCTGCATTTCTTCCACAGCATAAATATGGCAGAATTGGACTGTTTTTTTAATCCAGAGGAAATTAAGTCATAAACCCTCTTGCAACCAGAGTATACATGTTAGACAAATCATTGGCTCTAAAAACCTTAAACTTAGCTGTTTAAAAAATGGGGTCGATAATCTAAATCAAAGCTAACACTTACAATGGCTGTGCTCATCAAATTTACAAAAAAAACAAAAATGTACTGCTGTCAACTGTAACCAAAATCACAACTCCATCGAAACTGGTCGTGACCAGCCTAAGAAGCCTTTCTGTGATTCGGGTCTGGAAAATGTAGGTTGGTCGGTCCACCAGTAGGAGGTACTGGAGTTTCAGGTGCGTGGCCAGAAATGCAGAGTTTACCGGACTCATCTTGATCCCAATAAACTTCTACCATAAACCCTCTTGGATATTGTGGAGATTCTGTTCCTGGAATCACCGTATACTTTGTTCCCACTGGTATCTGCAGAATCATTGTAATACAGTATCAGAAGAGCAAGACAAGAAAACATAACCCGCTCATGATTTTTATATTTGTTGTCAATTCTGTATGGTAGTATAAACTATAAAGAGAAAGAAATGTTCACGCTCACATCAAATGAGGCTCCAGATGTTAAAGTGAGAGTAACCAGCCTCCCCTCAGTTATGGCAGCTTCTAGCTCTGCCTGCCTTGCAATATTCAAGAAAACTTCTTCAAGAGTTGTGAGACCAAGTTGGATGTCTGCTATATTAAATTCATGTTGTCTGTCTTGAAGCTCCGCAAAAAATCTCTGTACAAGTTCGTAAAATCAAAAGGAATAAGAACGGTAGAAAATAACAGAAACTTGGTGAGTGAGACTTCTTTTTATTGGTCTTCATAGCTGACATTATGCTATCCTTCTCCTAAGTCATATCGGATTTCAGTATAGGAACCATTGTAAATACTGGAAAAGTATAAGCAGATTTAAAACATATAAAACAAAGTAGAAAGGGAAATCATTACCGTCAATAGCCCCTCTTTATCATGAGGAATGACAAAAGTCAGAAATGCGCTGTTCTCTTCTTTAGGTATAACACCCAAATGCTGTAGAACTTTTCCCAAGTTAGACCTTTTGTGTGCATAAAAAAAGTTTAAATAATTTCCAAAATTAACATACATAACAGTCTCAAGAATTAACATACACGTTCAAAGAACAGCTTCACGGCCTCATGGTGAGGTGTGTTCACTGAATTGGTGCTTCCACTGAAGCTCACATTAGCAATAAAACCACTCCCAAACCGTGACTTCAGCCGGATTGAAGTTCCAATGCAACGGAGTTTACCCTTTGCCATGATTCCTATTCGGTCACTTAAAATGTCAGCTTCTTCCATTGAGTGAGTGGTTAGGACAATTGCACGCCCTTTTTTTGCATCCTCTATGATGTCCCACACATGCCTTCTTGTTATTGGGTCCATACCAGTTGTCTGCAGATCATAAACTAAATTACATAAGCAGGGCAAGTAGATGAGCTTATAAGGGAACAAGTTGTAATTTCCATACCGGTTCATCTAAGATAACTAACTTTGGATCACCAATAAGGGCTATTGCGACACTCAGGCGACGTTTCATTCCTCCACTGTAACTACCAGCTCTCATCCTGGCTGCTTCATCGAGTTTCACCCCTGCCAATGACTTCTTAGCCACCTAAATTCCAGAAGGAGCATTCAACATACAGACTAAACACTCATTCTTGCTCGAGCTTAACACAAATGAATGATTGTGATACCCATTCAAACATTTTAAAGCAAGAAAGCATGTGAAATACCCTATTAAAGTTAGTGCAGCACATACCGATTCTATTGAAGATTGAGGTAGGCCTTTAATAGTAGCGAACAGTTGGAGGTGCTCTTGCCCAGTCAATGCACTCCAAAGAATATCGAACTATGAATAGAGACAACATGCAAACAAGGTGAGTCTAATATTTTAAATAAGCTGTTGCAACATAGTAAAAACTATGTAACTTGTATAATCTTGAAAAATTCAGGTCTACTACATGCACAAACAGGTGTGTGTGTGTGTGTGTGTGTGTGTGTGTGTAGAGAGTGGGGTGGGCAGAGCAGGTCACCTGCGGACAAACTCCTATAATTTTTCGAATATTTGCCATACCAACGGAACTTCGGGCAGAATGACCATAAATCAATGCTGTTCACAAGGAAATTTACAATTTTATTATATCCCCTATTGACTTCATCCCATAAATTTTTTTATCGATGGACTAAAAAATAATGAAACTATTACCATCTCCTCCAGTCACAGGAGCAAGGCCTGTTAAACAACTGATTGTCGTGGTTTTCCCAGCTCCATTGGGTCCAAGTAGACAAAATAACTGATCCTTGGCAAAGTTCACCCATAAACCCTGGAAGTTATTCAAAATAAATCTTTTGTTACCATATTATTTTATTAAAAAAAGCAAGAAACATATATTCTGTTTCTGCGTTATACATTTTTGTCTCAAGCAGACAACAGATGAAAATTAAGAAACAGGGTAAAATAACTTGATCATGAGTCATGATAATATCCATACTCAGTGGGACATTCCTTTATGGCAGCTACTAAGTGACGGATGGCAATCATTTATGAGGTTCTTCCAGAGGATCTCATATTCTAACAATCAACCCAAATGAGTCTAACATCTTCACCAGAAAATCTCACAAATAGAATTCACAAGAGATAAATAGGTAAAAATTGACGGAAGATGCATTAAGTGAACAAAATAATTAAATAATTTCACAAGATTCCTCCACATGAACCGCAAACAATAGGTGCTACATAAAAAGAGAGGTAAGCCATTTTAATCTCTCAACTTCCTCTGGAAACTAAAAGTTGGAAAAGGTTCTTTACCTTGACAGCATGGTAAGGTGCAGTTTTCTTGCCACAGCAGCAACAACCACCTTTTCTGGTCCCAGGATATGTCCTCACAAGGCCACGTATCTGAACTGCAATGTTTGGAAGAACAGCGCCATCCCTAGCTTGTTGTTTTACTACGTTCTCCTCTTCAAGGACATCTACATCATCCGGAGTGCTACCATCCAGTGGTGGAGCTGAACTATAATTGTCACCCTCTATAAAAAGAGAGGATAAAAGCATCAAGTCTTCCATCCAACAAGGGAAACTCAAGCATAAACTGAGTGTCAGACTTATTTACCTTTCACTTTGTTTCCACCTATCCCTATCCAGTACCCAGGTGTTAAAAAATAATACACTGGTTTTTTGACACCAGATGCATTTGGGACGATATTATCTAAGTAGATAGCCAAAACAAACCAGATGACGAATGTCGCCATTAGCCATTTATAAATGTCACTCTGTCAAAGTTTGGATGAATGCATTAATAATAAATGGCAGGTATGTGAAATCAGAAGTATTTATGAACTACTGTTAAGTTTTGAGTTTGAGGACCAATGTGTATACGTACAAGAGTTATAACACAATCGAATTCAGTTGGTCCACACTCTGTTATTCCACTCAAGCTAATCCCATGATCTTGAGGAGTGGATGTTGCATCAGCAAGTATCTTCAGAGCTTTGGCAAGAAGATTAGGTGGGAATAATGACCAGAGGAATCGAGAGGTTTTAGAGAAGCCACTCGCATATGGAAATCCTGCTGTTGTAACAAGCTGCAGTGACAAAATGGATTCTGATATTTACCGTTGAACCAATAACCCCTAATCAATAAATTATGTACTGAGGAAACTTGCCTGGGATAGAAAGCCAAGAATAAATATGGTGAAACCCACAGTTGTGGATGAAGATGCCTTGCTTACGAAGGCTGACAACATGAAGGCAAAACCAACCTGGCACCAAATGTTAGAGAGGGTGCATTAGAGGCTATTAAACAGAGAGATTTGCTTAAGAAAATAAATTGGAGAAAATAAGCATAAGTTGAAACCAGTAATTGCAAGAAATAGTCTTACCATATTGAGTTGGAAAAGAAAGAAGACCAGGTATAAGACCAGAATATTGTTATGCAGGAAAAAATCAAACATAAACATCATCCCAAAGAGAACTATGAAAAGTGATGAGAGAAGTGTCATAATTCCCTCCCATGTGAGCCAAGAGAGCCAGTATGCAGTATCATAAAGACCCATCATTGTCATTGCCTGTTGGGTGAAACAAGTAAAACACCAAATAACTAATTGATTCAAAAAATGGGATAGCAATGCTATTCCATAATTTCACCAATTTAACTGGCAAGAATCATACATTAACTTCAAGTCATTACATTACCTCTCGAAGCTTTAGTTCTTTCTCGACAATCAAAGAAGACATTTGAAACACAAAACCAAACATGGCAGTTGCAAGGAAAAAGGTTGGTCCAACTTGTTTAATTGCAGAGTACAACTCTCGCGCAGGGTGTGCAAATTCCTTGAATGAAACATCCCAGCTAAAATTTGGAACTGAAACAAGTCAATTTACAATTTATCAGTGCTAAATAAGGTCAAGGTGCTAATCATGAAACTAAAAGTTTCTGCAAAGAACACAGGACTTTGAGAAATACAAAATTATAAGAAATGTGAAAGAAAAACCCAATACCTCCAATCAGAGACCTAACAATCTCACGCTCGGCGGCAATCTGAAGCGGAATTTGAAACTTGAAGGTACGCTCCTCAAATTGCTTTCGTTTTGCAACAGCAGTAGAATTAGTCTGTATGCCATAGCTAATTACAGTGGCCTCTCTCTCCGAAAAATGCAAAGCTCCTGAGCAAGTCATTGGATTATTAGACAGCCATTCATCAACATCAGCACTTGTTCTAAACGATTTCACCTGCGAAAATAGACAAAAGTTCCCATCTTTGAGATTGCGACTTTCACACCGCATTTTGCTTTCCAAAATACGAAAAATTTGATCTTTCCGCAAGCAAAAAGAAGCAGAGCAAAAAAAATCCATTTTCCCACCATTTTCTTGGTAACCAAACAAAATGCAACAAAAAATCGTACCTTGGTCGCCGGAA